CTTGTCTCTTCTCTCTCTCTCTCTCTCTCTCTCTCTTCCTCTCCTTCTCTCTCTCTCCCTGCCGCTCTCTCTCTCTCTTTCTCTCTCTCTCTGTCCTATTTTCTCCCTCTTTCCGCCTCTCACTCTCACGCCCTGCCTCCCTATCTATCTCCTTCTGCTTCCCGTCACCTTCTCGTCTGCCCATCCCATTGCGTCAGAGCCACGGCGTGTGGATTTACGGGAGAGCAGCAATGCGAGTGTGTGAGGGGGAAACAATGTGAACGACGCACGAGCGCGAGCACGCGCCGCGTCAGTGCGAAACCGTTTGTCGGTAATTGGAAGATTTCCAGTTTCGAAAACGTCGCTGAAGCAATTATGATAATCGGTGTGCGGATTTTGCGGTCAGGTTGTTAGCCCGCGGCTAGCAGCTTTCCACACGACAAGCCCCCAGTGAGAGAAGGAGGGGGAGAGGGGATGTGAGTGTGTCCGCTGCCCGTGCGTGCGGACGTGTGTGTGTGTGCGTGTGCGTGCGGGCTGTGCGGGCTGGGTTGCAAAACGTGGTGATCGCCGTGTGTGGACGTCTGAGATAGTGCGTGGCGATGTGCGTGCGCGCGTGCGTGGATGTTGCGTGTCGTTGTGTGCGCGCTTGTTGCGCTCCAGCCGTGCCCAGCCGGTGCATCAACGCTGTCTCACGTCCTCTATCAATCCATCAACCATCATTCCATTCATACATCCCCATCCATCCATCCACTGCTCAATCCATTAATTCATCCTCCATCAAAGATCCATCAATCAACAATCCATCTATCCATCCATCCATCCATTGCAGATCCATCATTTCATCCCGTTTCATCCGTTCACCATTCATCAGTCAATCAATTCATAAAATAACTAATAAATAAATAATAATAAATCTACCCGTCTTTCGTCTCACGTTGTTCGTTATCCGTACTCTTTCTCTCTCGCGCGCCCGCGCTCTCTCTTTTCTTCCTGCCTCCTCTCTCTCTGCTTTCTCTCTACTCTCTCTCTCTNTCAGAACAACAACTCGATGAGAGATTGGACAGATATCAGAAGGAGATAAATTGGGTTAGGCAGCGAGAGAGAGAGAGAAAAGAGAAAGCGAGATGAAGTTAAACGTAGAGAGAGACGAGAGAAGAGAGAAAGAGAGAGAGAGAGAGAGAAAGAGAGAGAGAGAGAGAGAAGAGAGAAAGAGAGAGAGAAGAGAGCATAAGCACAAGAACAAGCGTAGCAACAAGAGACGGACCGAACGAACAGGATTTACCGCACACTGGCGTCGCTCTTCTGGCCGCGACAGATTTACGGGTATGACAAACCGAGCGCGTGATCTCGTTCCGCACCAGTGTACCCACGCCCCCGGCGCGAAGAACAGCGGTATAAAGCGGCACAGTCGCGCCAGCCAAGAAGCCATGTATCAGCGCACAGTCCGCCAAGAACCACGTATACAGCGGCACAGTCCGCCAAGCGCAAGAACCACGTATCAGCGGCAACAGTACCGCCAAGAATAGAACCACGTATCAAGGCGGCACAGTCCGGCCAAGAACCCACGTCATTCAGTCGGCACAGCCGACACAGCCAAGACAACCAGACGTATCAAGCGCACAGTCGCGCACAAGAACCAGTCTCAGCGGCACAGGCCCGTCAGGAAGAACCACGTATTCAGCGGCACATGCCGCACAAAGAACCACGTATTCAGGCGGCAGAAACAGCCGCAGCAGCAAGAACCGGCGTATGCAGCGGCAGCAGCGCGCCAAGAACAACATATCAGCGGCAGGCAGCCCCAAGAAGCCACGTCATCAGCGGCACAGCCCGCCAAGAACCACGTATCAGCGGCAACAGTCGCGCCAAGAATCCCCGAACGTATCAGCGGCAGCAGGCCCGCCGAAGAACCACGTATGCAGCGCAGGCAGCGGAGCGCAGCGAAAACCACGTATCAGCGGCACAGCCCCGCCGAAGAGAACCAACGTATCTAGGCGGCAACAGCCCGGCCAAGAACCCAGCGTATCAGCGGCCGCAGCCGCCCAAGAACGGCGACGTATGCAGCGGCCAGCAGCGGCAGGGCCAAGAACCACGTATACAGCGGCCAGTCGCGCCAAGAACCAAGCGTATCAGCGGCCATGCAGCAGCCCGCCCAAGATACCACGTATACAGCGGCACAGTCCGCCAAGAACCGCGTATCAGGCGAGCACCAGTCAGCCAAGAACACGTATCAGCGCAACAAACGGCGCCAAGAACGGACACGTATCAGCGGCCAAGGTCAGGCCGCCAGCCAAGAACCACAGTAATCAGGCAGGCACAGAGCCAGCCACACGACCACGTTATGCAGCAGGCAGCAGCCCTGACCCGCCAAGAACGACGTATCAGCGGCACAACGGCGCGCAAGATAACGGCACGTATCAGCGGTCACAGCCGCAGCCAAAGACACACGTACGCAGCGGCAGCAACACCGGCCAAGACGCAGCGTATCAGCGGCAGCAGTCCGACAAGAACCAGTATCACGGCGCAAGCCGCACAGACCACGTATCAGGCGGCACAGCCGCCCAAGAACCACGTATGCAGCGGCACAGCTGCGCCAAGAACCAGCGTATCAGCGGCAGCAGTGCCGACCAAGAAACCACGTATGCAGCGGCAACAGCAGCCGCGCGCAGCCTAAGAAACCACGTATATCAGCGGCACAAAGCCCGCCTAGAACCACGTATCAGACGGCAGCAGCCGCGGCCAGAAGAAGCAACGTATCAAGCGGCAACAGCCCGCGGCCAGATGGACAGAACCACGTATCAGCGGCACAGCCGCGCAAGAACGCACGTATGCAAGCGGCACATGCCCGCCAAGAACACGTATTCAGCGGCACGCAGGCCGCACAAGAAAACCGGACGGTAAATCAGCGGCACAACCCGCCGACCGCAGCGCCCGTATCCCAGCCCCCTGTTCGGGCCGGGCACTAGCGAGCACACCCAACCGCCGTGCGCATGGCGTGGCGACAAGGCGTTTCATCCGTGGGCAGCGGATAACAAGGCAATATATATATAGGAATCGGAGATTTTCGACAGTTCGAAATGTGGTCTTGTAGCCGCATGAGCCAGACGCGCTTGGTGATATGGCTGATTGCGAAGGTAGATTTGAGTGAAATTTTGGCTCTGCATATAAAAAATGACGAATGCATGAATTGGGGCAGCGGCAACGATGACGGGCGGGTGGGTGTGTGTGCGTGCGTGCGTGCGCGGCGTGTGTGTGTGTGCGTGTGCGTGCGTGCAGTGCGTGCGTGGCGTGCGCGTTGCTGTGTGCGCGTAGCGTGCGTGTGGTGCGCGCGTGCGTGTGTGCGTGCTGCGTGTGTGGGCGCTTTGCGCGCGTGGCGTGCATCAGGCGCTTGTCTCAAGCTCGCCTCTATGCAATCCATCGCAAACCATGCCATCGCATTCATACGATCGCTCCATCGCATCATGCGCATCAATCCATCCAATTCATCCATCATCAATGCCATCAATCAATGCACATCCATCTATCGGCATCATAGCCATCATAGCATCAGTCATTCATCCGTTCATGCCGTTCACACCATTCATGCAATCATCTAATCAATAAATAAATAAATAAATAATAAATAAAATAAATCTAACCGCGTGCTATTCGTCCGTCTGTTTCGTTTTGATCGTAATGCTCTGCTCTCGCGCGCGCGCATCTCAACTCTTCTCGCTCTCTCTCTCTCTCTCATGCTCTCTGCTCTCTGCTGCCCTCTCCCCTCTCCCGCCTCCTTCTGCTCACTGGGGCCTTGTCGTGTGAGAAAGCTGCTAGCAAAGGGCTAACAACGCTGAGCGCGCATAAATCCGCACACCGATTATCATAATTGCTTCAGGCGACGTCTTTCGAAACTGGAGTCTACCTTTCTCTCGGGCCCTTTGTATATCTGTCTATCCATCTACCAATCTACCTATATATCTATTCTGGAAAACCTGCTTCTCTCCCTTCTTCCTAGCCTCTTCTACCCCCACCCACCCACCTTCGACAGCCGGCCGTTTTCGTTAGAGCGAGAGTTACTGTGAAGAGTAATTGTGGGCGCGGGACATATTGCATTAGCTGCGGCTTTGTCAGTGATTGCGTGTTTGTCCAGCGACAGGAAGCGACTCACAGCGGCTGCCCTAATGCGATTAGTTGCGCCTGGACGAGAGGGAGGATGCGGCGGTGCGAGGCTGTGATTCATCAGCTGGGTCGGTGTGATGGTACTACCCTACTGCTTCCTCATGCTCCTCATTTTTCTTCTCTTTCTTCTCCTTCCCATAGCATCTTCATATCTCTCCGCGCAGCATCCTCCTCCTCCTCCTCCTCCTCCTCCTCTTCCTTCTTCTTCTCTACTTCCTCCTACTCCGTGTAACATCCCGACAGCATCTTCAACCTTCTCTCCACAGCATCCTCCTCATCTTTATGGANAGAAGGGGAGAGGGAGAGGGAGAGAGAGGAGGGGGAGAAGGAGAGAGAGAGAAAGAGCGAGAAAGAGAGAGCGCGCGCGAGAGAGAGAGACGACGGATAGACGAACAGACGGACGGATAGACGAGTAGATTAATTAATTAATTGATTGATTGATTGATTGATTGATTGATTGATTGATTGTGCATGCGTGCGTGCGTATGCGTGCGCGCGTGCGTGTGTGTGTGTGCATGTGTGCGTGTGCGTGTGCGTGTGCGTGTGTGCGCGTTTGCGCGCGTGCGTGCATCACGCTTGTCTCAAGCTCCCTCTATCAATCCATCAAACCATCCGTTCCATTCATACATCCCTCCATTCATCCATCCATCAATCCGTCAATTGATCCATCCATCAATCCATCAATCAATCAATCCATCCATCCATTCATCCATCCATCCATCCATCCATGCATCCATCCATTTATCCGTTCATCCGTTTACCCATTCATTCATCAATCGCACGCACGCACACACACACCGCCGTCATCGTTGCCGCTGCAATTCAACATTCGTCATTTATATGCAGAGCAAAATTTCACTCAAAATCTACTTTCGCCAATCAGCATATCACCCAAGGCGTCTGGCGATGCGGCTAACCACATTTCGAACGTCGAAATCTCGATTCCTATATATATATTGCCTTGTTATCCGCTGCCAGGGTTGAACGCTTGTCGCGCGCATGCGCACGGGGTTGGGTGTGCGCTAGTGGCGGGAACAGGGGTGGGATACGGCCTGCGGGCGGGCTGTGCCGCTGATACGTGGTTCTTGGCTGGCTGTGCCGCTGATACGTGGTTCTTGGCGGGCTGTGCCGCTGATACGTGGTTCTTGGCGGACTGTGCCGCTGATACGTGGTTCTTGGCGGGCTGTGCCGCTGATACGTGGTTCTTGGCGGGCTGTGCCGCTGATACGTGGTTCTTGGCGGGCTGTGCCGCTGATATGTGGTTCTTGGCGGGCTGTGCCGCTGATACGTGGTTCTTGGCGGGCTGTGTCGCTGATATGTGGTTCTTGGCGGGCGTGGGTAGACTGGTTGCGGACGAGATCACGCGCTCGTTTGTCATCTCGTAAATCTGTCGGGAGAAGAGACGCCGTGTGCGGTAAATCCGTTCGTCGGTCCGTCTCTGTTGTACGCTTGTTCTTGTGCTGATCTCTCTCTCTCTC